TCACATTGGTGACTTACGTACAATCTGCAGAAGTAGCGTTGATGTGTTGAAGCCATGTTGATGAGTTGACAAGGGGTGTAAATTGCGCTGATGAGCTCTGGACTCAGGGAGCATTGAAACTCTTTGTAATCATATATTTGATAATATAAGTTGTGCAACTCGGTTCTCTTCTCATCTACCTTTGTCTATGTGTGAGACTCTTGTTCATTGTGTGCAAGGATGATGCGTGGCATGTACACACTTGCGTGAGATGGTCGTCAGGACCCATGCAAATTTGGTATCGGAGCAGATGCTCGCTGCACTCATAGCGCTGGCATGATCAAGGCCGGCGAGAAGTGGTGATGGAGGATTAGCGAAGGAGGGGGGAAGAGAAGAGGTGTTTGATAGTGGGGGAAGCAGGCCGAAGAAGAAGTGGTGAGGAATACATACCTGGAGCGTGCGGAGCGTCGTGGAGCATCATCGGCGGTTACCGTATCTTCAAGAAGAGAGAAGCACCTCCTTTCCCTGAACCTGCATGTATGTGTGTGTCCCCTACCTTCTCTCTCTCTGACCCTCTGAAGGTGACTGCTGCTGATCTGGTCTGAAGTCGAAGTCTGGATCTGGATCGTCCTAGAGTCTGGATGGTCCAAGTGCGATATGTCAGGGTCTGGTCGCACTAGATTAGGTGGTCCAGTGTTCAGCGAGTAGGAGTAGACTTCTCTCCTACCCCTCTCGATAGGCAGGCTGGGTATCGTCATCAGGGACTAAGGGTCGAAGTAAGAAGTGGCTATGGGCCACATCAGATTGTAACCACCAGGCAGCGCAAGAATGATGATGAGCATCTATAGGGCCTGTTAACCTGCAAGAAAGTAAAGGTTGAGAGTATTTCTGCCTGGTTGATTAAGGGAACCATCTGCATCTGATCTTTCTGCGCTATACTTCATACCTGCACCCAAGCAGCCAGCCCGTTAGTAATAAACCAAGCATTAAAGGGGAGCAAGACATCAGAAACACATTGCCAAGAATCTGATCGAGGGGGGGCCAGACAGCATATCAACAGAAAAAAAGAGTATACATATCCAAACAGTAAGCTTGTTTTAGTTTGATCTGTTGTTTATTCTACGCAGCACCTTCTACAATCAAAAAAAAAAAAGGTACAGTACTTCATTCACCGCGGATCAAGAACTGAGTCCGTAAGTGGGATAGTACGGTGGTGATCCGGCGGAGGGTCCCCTGTGTCGGTCGTCATCATGGATGACTATCCCATCCAGGGCCTGTTGGCCCTTTCTGTTCTATTGGGCCCAATATTTCGGTTAATGTTCCCGTTGGGATTCGGACGCGTCTGTGCGTCTCGCATGCTATTGAAATCCGGAACAGTAAAGCCTGGGCCAACACCTGCAGAGCAAGCAGAGATTGACCGCAGGCTGACAGAAAAGAAAAAGGAAAGAGAAGCTAAGAAAAAACAGAAAGAAGAAGAAACAAAAAAAAAGATGAAAGAGAAGATGGAGAGGGAACTAGAAAAGGAACTGAAGAGCATTCAAAAAGAAGAAGAAGAAGAGGAACAGGAAGAAGGAGAAGTTTTGGAAAAACGTCGTCGCCTGGACCTACCTGAGAGTAGCGATACTGCAGCGGCCAGACTTCCAGTTGAACCATTGGATTGGGCTGGTCAGTACTATTACTCCAGCAAGCCGCTAAGGGAAACTGAAGAAGAAAAACATACGTTCATCGCAAAGTTGGCCACTGTGACAGACCCAATCGAACGGAATCTGCTAATGGAAGAAATGAGGGCTGAGTTGAATAATAGAATGCTGGCAGCCAGAAGGCAAGAAGTGGAAGAAAGAAAAAGGTTGCAGGTAGAAGGGGAAAAACTACAGAAGGCGTTAGAAGCTCAAAAGGATAAACCCTCTGCGACCGAAGAACAACTTCCTCTCCTCAGAAAAACAATCCTCAACACAAGGCAGGACATGGCTTTAATGCGGCAGACCATACAAAGAGTGGAAACGCATCGGCGGGTTGAATTCGAAAATGTTTGGAACAACTTCCTAGAAAAGTCAGCCAAAGATGTTGACCAACATGTTCAAACCTACATCAGGGCCTTAGATGAACATCTCACTAAGACCTTCACTCCGGAGGTTATAGAGAAAATTGTTAAGGAAGCTAGAGGCGGAGGAGAAGATGGCAATGACGATGGCGATGATGACAAGAAGGGGAAAGGAAGGGGGGATCCAAAGGAGAAACTTCCACAGGAAACCGGGCAGGTTAGTAAAATAAAACTCAAACTGCCATGGACCTATAATGGAAAGAAGGAAGAAAGTGTTTTGCATTGGGCGGCAACAATCGAAACATATGTGTACGGACAACGTATTTCATACTGGGACAGGGTATTGATGGCAACTTCATGCATGGGAGGCGACGCCATGAGCTTCGCCATCTCGCTGCAAAAAGAGGCGGGATGCAGCTCCATGGTAGAATATTCGCAACAAACGCGAATCGAAGATTTCCTCAAAGTCGTAAGAGAAATATTCGAGGATAAGAATTTAGCAAGACGCACTGAGATGTTAATCCTCATCCTTCCTGATAGGAAATGGAAAAGTACCTCTGCCTTAAAGGCAACTATGGACGAACTGTTACAATGTCCTAATCATGGATTGACGCCGGCTCAAATCTTAAACAGTTTTGCACGAGCACTTCTGGATCCCCTGAGAACACAACTCTATCCCTGCACCAAAGAAGAGGGGATGACATATGAGAAGTTCAAAGATCGCAATAAATCACGCCGGCTTCCTCGCCGAAGCGAACTATTGTCATTACTGGAAGGATCTACAAGCGGGGAAAAGATGGTAAAACCGCACTATCTCAGGGTCTATACCTGGGAAGGACAGTCTCCTTCTAACCTTTGAGGAAGGAGGCGCCGAGACCATCTCCTGGGATCAGGTAGACTATGGTCTCGATGAACCCAACAGACCGGTAGCTCAGGAGGGGAGTTACGCAGTTGTTGCAGCCCTCG